ACCGGAGCGGCAAGCGTCACGCTCTCTCCGATTTTCACATACTCCGCCGTGGCCGGTCGGCGGTTCTCTTCTGTACAGCCAATTGATAGATCCGGCCAAGAGGAGGGACGGGATCCATGGCTAAAATCTGCGATCGAAACGGTGAGTAACTCTCATTTAGAATCAACAGAAAGCGAGTCACCTTCTCCCTTTCTCGAATTTTTTTATACTGTTCGAGTGTTGTTTCTGGTCCTTGAAGCTCCTCCTCAGCCGCCTCGAGCTCATTCCACAAAGCTGAGAGTCGATTGAAACAAGCGGTAACTGAGAGGTTCCCTTGCTTCAACTCCGACAGGGCTTGTGTGAGTGAGAAATGCTTCGCTCGGTCCATTTTTCCGAACATTTCGCGTATGCTTTCCCATAATTTTTTTGAATCTTCGGTTGGTGGAAGACCGGCGGCGACATCAGGGGCTATGCAGTTCCCGATCCAAGTGCGAACGAGTTGGTTGCATTTGCGCCAACATCGTTGAAGCCGGTCGTCGGTCGGATAGGGCACGGTTCCATCAAGGAATCCGTCCTTGTCCTTGGTCACGAGCGCTCGCCGGAAATCTCGAGCCCATGCATTGTAGTTGTCGGGTCCGGTGAGTTGTAAGTTGATAAGCCGGAGTTCTGGTCCATCAGCCGGCGATGTGTAAAGTGCGTCGCCGGGCTCCAGCCGGCCGTTGACGGCTGGGACAGGATATGGGTAGAAACCGGGTTGCAATCCCGGGTAGGGATTCATCCCTTGACCCGGTGCACTCGGGTCGGCTCGGTGATTCGAAGGTGGCCATCCGAGCCCATTGAGTTGAGGTCCCGGTTCCGAATTTGCGTCCTCTGCAAGTGGACCGTGTTGGCCAAATTGCTGATTGACTGCCCATTGACTCTGAACAGGGATCCATTGTATCGGTGGCCACTGGACTTGACTGGGTGTTGGTGTCGGAGGAAGCTGTGTTGGTGCCGGAGGATCAATCGGGGGATGTTGTGCAGAATCCCGTTCACCATGAGTCGGATCCATTTGATCTGAAGACTGATTCTGTGATGAGTTATCGGATGATTCTTCCATCGTAGGTAGAATTGTTTCTTGATTTTCACTGGTGGTTGGCTTCTTGTTCTGATTTTTGGGCATGGTGTGTTGTGCAGATATTTGAATTCCTACCCGGAGTGCTAATTCGTTTTGCCGGATGAAATTTGCAACAACGAAATTAGACGGCTACCGGGGGCAATTTGGAAGAATGATGCGGAAGCTAGCTTAGAACCGAAAGCTCTGATACCATGACAGAAAATGTAAATTGTAGAGATTGGAAAATTGTTTTCTTGTATTGCATCTTCTGTACATGTACATATTGATATTTATAATACAAAAGGGAATCAAAGAAAGAATAATCATGATACAATTTTCCTATAATATCTCGATTGACAAAATCAATTAGTCCTCAGTCTATGTAATTAGAATCGGAATCTCGAGACAAATCATATATTTCTCCAACAAAATCCATTTTAAACCATCTTTTAGGAAAACGGCCCCACTTGATGCGGTCATTTGAAATTGTTTTTTATAAGTTAATTAACTATGATTGCTTTAGCTAAACTCTAGGGATCTAATGTGCTGTCCCCAATAATCGTGGTGTGTCCAGGAAAAAATGTTTTTTTCTCCTTTTCTTTTTCATTGTTTTGATAATTAAATGACATTGACATATGTATACGTTGTATCTTCATTTGTGGTTTCATAAGGGAGAACATTCCATTATTTATTTTAATAGCATAAATTATACGTAACTAAAAAGCTTTCACTACTTTGAGTTGTGCAGCCGCTTACTCCAAATATTTCAAACTATCACACTATAACAAAGTATACCTTTAATATTTGCGGTACGGTTGTTTCACCCTAAGTTTTTTTTTTTTTTTTTATAACCCAGGAACCCCCCGCACGGCTGACAGCCGGACGGGTAAACCTGGGGTGACGCTAGCGCAGGACCCACCACCACGGCGCCACACTTAAGAATCCCTAACGACTACGCTGGGGTTCGAACTCTGATCCCTTCGTGGGGGGACAAGAGCGCAAGCCAACGCAGCCACTGCGGGCAGTGCCACTCAACCTTTTGTCACTTTACGAGACACGAGTTTCAAGTCGAGGCATTCTCAACAATATAAAATACAATCCGTCAATTTTCTAATAACTTAATTTTTTATTTTGTATAGCGAGTCAGGTGGTGTCCAAGTTTGCTTTCGCGCACATCAACTAGTCCACCTCCTCCGGAGATATTAAGGGCGCACTTCTTTACGTCGATTTGGTACATTTAGGATTTTACTCATGGAATGCTATCAACAAGGACTTGGATAAAAAAAAATCATAAGAAGGAGCAAACTCCCTTGCTATCTAGGTCAAAATCTCGTTTGTTCTTAAGACAAAACTAATTACACGTGTAAATGCTCCATTAGCAAAATAAGAAATGCCCATGTGTAATTAGCAAAATTCGAAATGCCCCACGTTGGTAATCATGAAACCCATTTCCTTTGTCTTCAATGCTACAAACCATTCAAGTTTCAATTGGAGACCTTAGAGGACATTCCTATTTTTAATAGCATAAGCTTTTTTTTTCTTATAACGGATCAAATACTGTCCGAGTCTGCTTTTGCATACCTCGACTATTCCGCTTCCCCAAGGGATCTAAAGGCCACGATCCCCTACGTCAGTTTGGTGCATTTGAGATTCTACTCATGGAGTGCCCTCTCACTTTACTTTGGTGCATTCAGTATGGATTGCCCTTAATAGGACTTGAACATATGACCATAAAGATGAGTCAATAGGATAATCGAGAAGCCTCACGTTGGTAATCGTTCACGGAATCATATTAACTGTCTTGAGTGGCTCTTCTGAACAAAAAGAAAACAAAAGGGCCCTTAAACAGCTGTCCGGGTCCCGATATGGTAACATAGTTTTGTCAATGCTACAAAACCATTCAGATTCAATTGAATACGTCGGTCAATCTAGTCTGACTTCATGAAAGGGATATCTGAGAGATACATCTCAAAAATTTCTTCCTAATGCCGTGCATCTACTTCCTATGTTACTCCAATTGCCTACTCTTTCTAACATACTTGTGACACCAGGGTTCTACTCCCAAAAGGAATTGAGGGTGACCTTCACATAAAAGAAAAATCCCAGATGACAATAATATCATTTTTGTAAAGTTATGTGACCAATGATCGATCCATATTCAAGCATTTGGTTTCAATGTGACAAATTTTGTATTTAAATCGCACCATCTCTAGTCAGAGTAATCCTTGAGATCGCTCTTGTCTTCTTATTATGGAGTCTTGTCTAATGGTAGTTGATCTGACTATTTACATGGATAAGTGAGGGGTGTGGATTAGTGTAGCCGAATACATATGGTGTGTCACAATATTGTCTTGTAATCTAATTTCCTAAACCAATCATTATTTCTTTGACAAGGCTCAAGATTATTCAAAGAGATAAATTACTCAAAACTGAATAAATCTTCCCCGAATTGAGAACTTCGTCAAAACCCAAAATGGGAAGAGGGGTTGGGCAGTGCGTGCGGATGACAATTGACCGAGAAAAGTAGATTTGATTATTATAAACGTTTGATAGCGAGCTTCACTATAAAACTTGCATTATCCCTAGATAGTCGTAGCAATTATTGTGGGTTTTAAATTAGAGTTATACAAGTGCACATTGAGGATCATCAATCACGCTTCCAAAGTCAATCTCCGTAAGCAATTTTGGACAGGCGAGTTGGAATTCTAAAAATTCGAGGGACAAGGATGGATCGTCATATGCTAAGCCTCGTTGACTTTTAGGCAAATTGAAAGGGTCATGTCATGTGGTGCCTTGTCCATTTGCACTTAAATTAAAGTATCTATATTGAAGTATACAGTCGTTTTAGTTGAAAGAGGAAAAAAAAAAAACCTAGATGGTCTTCTTGGTTTCCAAATAATACCCTTCCCGCGAATTATCACTTCAATTGAGTGATGATTAATATTACACAAAAACAAAGTTGGTTGAATTGAAACAGTACTTCATAATAATGAAAGACCAGAAGAAGGAATGCCCATCTTAATTTAAGTATTAAACAGTTCGAATTGGAAAGTCTATCCTTGACAGTCGTAAAAAAGTAGTAAGCTACCCGTGCTTGCACGTGTTTCAATTTACTCGCTTTTTCTTAAGGTCTTGCTTTTTCTACTTCTCTTTTAACTTAAACATTCCCTTTCACAACACTTTGACCATATTACTCCTTGTGTGGCCTACCGATTAGCCTGCTTCAATGGTCAGAGTGACCTTCCTTCTTTTTTCGGGAAAATTGTCTAAAAAGTCACGAACATATTATTGTACTTTTGTTAATTCAGTCATAAATATTTTAATTGGGTTAATTGAGTCCTAAATATTTTCACGTTTTGCCAATTGAGTCAATCATGCCAATTTTGGTCGGAAATTACTGATGTGGATGCTAGTTATCCTAGGTGGCACGGCCGGCGTTAACGTAAATAATTTTTAATAATATTTTAATATTTATTTTGAATTTTTTTTGAATTTTTAAAATTTTCTTTTCTTTTTCCCTTATTTCTTTTCTTTACTTTTCCTTTTTTAGTTTTTCTTTTGTTTTCCTTTTCTCTTCTTTTCACTTTTTCTCTTTTCTTTTTTCTTTTTCCCTTTGTCCCTCCACCGGCCATCACTGAGCCTCGTCGATGGCTGACAAAGGTCACTGGCCTTAGGCAAGGGCCGCCCTTGCCGACCTTGAGCAAAGGACACCCGCACCTGGCCTGGCGAGGGTCACCCTCGTCTAGGCAGGCGTGGGCAACATTCACCTTCCCCGATCTGGCAAAGGGCAGCCCTTGCCCAATCTGATGAGGGTGGTCCTCACTCACGGGTTCAAAATCAAGACATGTTCTAACAACACTCAAGCTTGGCCTGCCGACTAAGTATGTTGGATCAACGGGCTCGAAACAATAATGGATATCATTGGTTCACTAATTGAATTTTCTTGTTGAATGCAAAGAAAAAGGTAAAGTACAACTACAAGGCGAGAACATTCATTAATAGACGCACAAAAGGTACATAACAAAATATGTTTTGTGTTAGAGAAAGCCATTGGTGATGAAACATGAACATTACGTTTCTTCAACTTGTGCTCTCACTCCAAACATGCATTCAGCAACTTTCCCATTAAAAGTCGCGACATTATATTTGACCACAAGCAGTGTTCTCTTTTCCATTCATATCTCATATGTCATGCCAACCCTCACAAGCCTATGCCTTGGGATCGCCATAATTTTCTCGCCTTGCCTGAAATTTTTCCTGAGAAAAGTGTAGACGTAGTTGACAATGATCTTCTTGAACACGGACGAGTTCGGCTTGGCAACCACCTCAGCTTCCCCGAGGAGGTACACCACACCCCTCTCCATTGCTCTCTGCACGAATTGCATCTCCTCTTCAGCCGCTGGGATTGGACTAAACACAGTTCGATTGGAAGAATTCGTCGACGTGACCGCGTTAAATGATTGGATAGAATTGGAAGAGAGATTGGACGGGTTTGGCTGCGGCAGCGACTCCTCCATTTGGACGGTTGATCCGTTGGCCTGTCCAACTTCCGCTAGCAATGTCGACTGGGGTACGCTGTTGTTGGCCGTCTCATCCTTTCGGTTGGGATCATTGTTCGCAGCCTCAAGCAAGAAGTACTCATGCCGGATGAATTCCTTCAAGTTGTCCACCAATTGGCGCTCAAACTCGTGCGGCTCCTCAATCTTGTCCTTGTATCCATACCGCACAACGCAGCGGAACATCCTGAAGCCCCTTGGTTCGACCTGCCTGAACAAGAACCGCTCCTCGAGCGCGACCTTGCTGATCGGGAGGTTCTTGATTGAGACGAGGACTAGAACCGAATGGATAGACGGAATATTTCCCACAAAATGCGATAATATTGGAGGAATGCCCTGCACAAGCTCAGAGTAGAGGAGGGCGACCCCGGGGACCCGGTTGATGCTTCGGTTCGCAGCGAGATCTTTAATGAACTGGGCCGAGACCTTGTTCTTGAGCTCGTACATGTACCGTTGCTTGTGGACATAGTGCCAGATGATCATGACGGTCATGAGGACGGCGGCGAACACGAGCGGCAGGAAACCACCCTGCTTGAACTTGTAGTAGACCGACGAGACATAGAGCAATTCGATCGAGCCGAAGACGGAGAAGAAGAGCACGATCCACCATATGCTCGTCTTCCATATCACGAGCATGATGAGAGTGAGCAAGCAAGTCGTGATCAACATGACACTCACCACAGCAATTCCTGCAACCAAACATTCATGAGACAAACTAGATAATAAAAGCCACCAAATTAGGTCCAAATTAATATAACGTTATTAGAAGTCTCGAATGGAAATGAAGGCTCCGTTTGTTTCGCAGAAAATGAGTAACTTGTAAATATTTTTCTTAAAATGATCGTTTGTATTACTTACAAAAAATGAACGAACGAACGAAAAATATTTTCACTAGTGACGTAATTGTTTAGATATAAATTGTTGTCGGCAGTAAAACATTTTTCAATGATCAATTATTTTTTAAATATATATTCCAAATTATTCATTTTCCACGAAATAAACGGAGCCGAAATCATATTAATTTTTCAACGGAGCCATGCGTTTTGGACTTACCATACGCATTGCCGATGTTGGTTGTGGTCTTGAAGGCGAGAGTGACCAAGACGCAGGCGATCATGAGCATGTAGTTCACCTCCGGTATGTAAACCTGCCCCTCGTACTTGGCCGATGTGTGAACCACCTTGACCCTCGGGAAGCAGCCCAAGCTCAGCGACTGCGAGACGATGGCGAACGCCCCCGAGATCATTGCCTGGCTTGCGATGATCGCTGCGGCGACCGCCACCACGAATGTCGGCCAGTAAATGGGTCCTGCTCATCAATCAACAGTAGTCACGAAACATTGTCAAACATAGGCTCGTTTATACTGCGGGCGGGACGCCTTATAAACTTTTGCGGGCTCATCGCAAGACATCACGCATGATGGGTCAATTTTGTAAGTCTCGATCATGGCAATCATACTAATTATTTTTTTATTGGCTAGACTATATCTATTATGAAATGTGCATAAACTGCGGTATTTCAATTTTACATACCTGGGATTGAGTCATAGAAAGTGTTGGCAACATGATCAGCGTGCTTCATGAGATAAGCTGCTTGTCCACTATATGCGGTCAAAAGTGCAGGAAATACGAGGAAAGAGAAGCTGATCTGCATGAATTGTACACCCAAATAATCAAACTCGACCATGGGAACACTATGACATATATTTAGTGCACAGGACACAAATACATCACCTCACGATCGTCGAAATAAGAAAAGATTCAGTTGAAACTGATGTGGTTCATTAAAAAGAGAGAACTAAATTCAGAAATTTTGTGCTTTTGTATTCTCCTCAATGGACGGAGTCATGAAGACAGATAATGAACAAAACAAAATTGATTAAAATATTCCTAAAGAAGTCAAGAAGAAACTCCTTCTGTTGAAAGTTAAGGCGAAGGAAATCGTATCTACTTACTTGGATTGCTCGAACATTGAAATGACCCAGATCAGCAAACATGGCCTCAGTGCCTGATTTCAATTGAACCATCCATATCAATGAGCTTAAAACTTTTTACCCAAGAAAACACACACAAGCATACACACACAAACCTGTAATGCAGAGGAAGATGCCGCCGAGCGAGATCCAGGCTTGCTTGCCGTTGCGTTTGAAGTAGTCGACGATGTACTTAGGGTTGAAGGCACGCAACACACCGATGTCGTACTTGAACAGGTTGAAGAGCCCGATCCCGCTAATGAACAGGAACCAGAGTAAGATGATGGGCGCAAAAGAGAACCCGACGCGATCCGTCCCGAACCTCTGGACGCAGAAAAGGGCTATCAGGATCGCCACCGATATCCACACCACAGCATCTGCATGTCCATACATAAATATACGTTTATCGATGAGTTAATATTGGCGTGACAAAAAGAAGAGAGTTGTATATGGATTTTAGAAGCAAATTTGTATATTCTATTTGCTAATAACGAAGCACTGTATTTACCTTTCCCAAGTGACTTGATCCCGCTCACTGCTGAAAGAACTGCAGGAACCCAAAAGAAAGAAAAAAGGACCAGAGAGCTTATCTTAGCTTTCAAGATACACAAAATATGTGCAGTACCAAAAGAAGAAACAATTAAGACAGTTTCTCCTTCAAAAGGAGGAAGCGGACTCTGTGGACTGTTGTTCTAACACGACGTTTGTGAAATTATTGGTTTTCACCATGTCGAAGTCTCTTATCATAACATTGTCAAAAGAAGTCCCTATCGTGTTATGCACCTTTAGGAATCCTTGATATCATTTTTCAAATGATTTCGAAATATATCGACTGAAATTTCATTTAACTGTGAGGACATGAAAACGAAAAATTGCCAAACATCTGTTGTGCTGTGCATAAATTGTGCATGGGTAACGAGAAAGAATTCTTTGAAAGGGTTTTAATAAAGAAATAGCAAGAAAGGATAGCGATCTAAACCTGAAATAGATGGAGTGAGAACACCGTCGCCGATGACCATCGAAGTGCCCATGATGGTAACAAGAAAAAGCAAGATCCGGGCGCTCTTGCTGTTCTCGAGCATATACTTGATCTTCTGAGCCCGTCGCAGCGGGTTCGACGGAGTGTCAAGCTTGTAGTTCGAAACTTCTCGGTCCTCCGGCTGCTGATTCGGGATCAGGCTCACCTTCGCGTACCGGCATATCAGCGAGTACAATGCGAACGTCCCTCCTGCACGCGAGCACGAGACGCACTAGTTAGAATTACGAAAATAAGTCATCGGTCGCCAACAAAGAAAATGAAATAGCTAAATAAAAATAATGGCATCTGAACCTACAAAAAATGGTCATGTACAATATGCTGATAATCCTAGCATGTGAAGCACAATAGATCTCTATATGTGCGTACCGTCGCCATTGTCATTGGCCAAGAGGACGATGAAGACATATTTGAGCATGGGGAGGAGAGCAATCGTGTAGATAATTAGCGACAAAACCCCAATAACATCCTGAGTGTCCTTAATTCCCTCCGTGAATGTACTCGAGTACACGTAGAGTGGAGATGTTCCTATGTCACCGTACACCACTCCTATGCTCTGAAATGCCAAACTTAACGTCCTTTGCCAATTCACCTGTAAACAACTCATATCAGCAATTTAATCGCGAAAACAAAAAACTCAGTTATTTGGGGGACACGTATCATTTCCGAGAGTCTTCTCACTGTTTTTCTATATTCCCATATGATTCGACGATCGTTCTAAAGTTGGTTCTGGCGAAACTGACGAAAGCAACTCTATGGGATGTTTCCTTGAAACCCACTAACATCAAATTCAGAAAATGGAATTGATTAGCCAAAGAAAAACATTTTCCGCACAAAATCGGCAAGAAGCACCTCAGAGGAGTGGGCGTGAGACATGGAGACTCGACCCGCCTCCAGGTTGAGAGAGTCGACGCGGCGCAGCCTCGTCCACGAGACCTTCCGCTCCTTCAGCTTCTCCACCTCTCTCGCTTCCGTCGCGATCTCCACTCCTTCTTCTTCCTCCATCGCGGCCACCTTCCTCTCCGCCATCGCTTCTCCTCGCCGGCCTTTCACCCCCACCTGTTTCTTTCCTTAATGTGAAGTGACGACCCCGCTCTTTATAGGGGGCTCGGGAGTCGAGACGCTTTAATTGAAGATTCTGCTGGCCAAATCGTGCGAAGTGGTCAATGTTAGAAAACGAGGGTGATCATGGAGGTTTGTTTTTTTCCGAAAATTTGACATTGTGTATGCGAGACGTGTCCATTTCGCGTGTACGATGATTTCTTTTTCGAGGGGACGAAGGTTTCATTGGTCGGATTCGGTAAGTCGCACGCCTTTGTCGCTTTCCTCGGAAGCTAGTGGAGATAAATTTCCGTAGTTCTAGTTTTCCATGAGCCACCTCTCTTGGTCTTAACTTATTTTCATCCTTTAAATTTGAGAGGCTGTTTTTTCAATGATGCAATGTATTTGTATGTTCCGAGGTTCTGTTCAGAAGAGAAGAATGGCCAGCAGAGGAAAAACTGCAATTGGATCACAATAAAGACTTGAGTTAATTGACTAGAATTAATTAACCATAGTCGCTTCAGCTACACGCTAGGATCTTATGAGCTGGCCGTAGTGGCAGCGGTCACTCCCGAATAATATATAGGTTTTTTTTTTGCTTGTTCTCTTAGTCATTGTTTGGATGGTTAAATGACATCGATATACGTTCTTTCAGCATTTTAATGTTGGTGTTTATGCATGGCGATGTGATGAGGATAATAAATATAAACGCACGGTGGAGTGAGAGATTTCGGCGTGTGCTCATTACTGAATATGGTGATCGGCCGACGATCGTTCACGGTAGTAAATATGTTTTTAGGAGATGAGAGCGTGCTTTTAGCTACGGACTATGCTTTGTTATTCTCTTTCTGGCTTTTGCTTTGTTCTGCAATTTAGTTGGGATTTGCTCGGAGAAAGACTTCTATATACCTCTCTAGTATTATTTGATATATGAATGGCATCTTTCTTTCGACGAAAAAAAAATGACATTGACACCCGATCGATGTTAAAATTATTGTATGGATGTCAATTCAGTCATAAACTTTTCAATTTTATCGATTCAATCATAAACCTTTACGTAAATTTCAATGTAGTCATTCCGGTTAATTTTTGCCATAAATAGCTAACTTGTCGGTCCAGCCAGGTCGGTCGACCTACATGGCATATTGCCACATCAGCAATTTCAGGTGGAAACTGGCTAGAATAACTACATTGGGATGTTGCACAAAGGTTTAGGAGTAAATTGACAAAATTAAAAAGTTTAGGACTAAATTGACATCCGTATAATAGGTTTATGACTAATTGGAAAATTTCTCATACATGACACACATTATATTGTCTTCTCATTCATTAGCGGTTTGATAAGGGAAAACATTCCACTAATCGCGAGACGATGTCAAGTGAACATCACGTCGTTACAATCTATCTTTCAATCCATGTTGTATGTTAATAGCATAAATTATAATAACATAACATAACATGATATCAGAGTTAAATCTATTTATAAATTTTAAACTTTCGCTACTTAAAGTTGATTACATGTGGAGCTGCTTACTCCAAAAATTAAAATTATCAAACTACAACAAAGCATTTTTTTATCCAAACGGTACCGCTCTTTCGCCCTAAGTATTTGGTATGCAAACTATTTGATCTTTCGTCACTAGAGGTATTTGAAATGTTGTAAAATAATTCGTTATTTTTTAATAGCATAAGCCATTTAATTGTTGTATAGTGGATCAGATTCTGTCCAAGCCTGCTTCGCGCAAATTGACTGTTCTGCCTCTTCAGGCGATCTTAAGGTCGCGGTCCACACACCAGTCTGACCAAGGAATTTACTCATGGAATGCTCTCACACGCCAGTCCGATACATTCAGGAATTTACTCATGGAGTGCTCTCAACACGACCTGAACATATGACCATAAACGAAAGCTTCGTATGGATAGTCGAAATGCCATTCATTATAATTGTCTTTAAGTGGCTTTTCTGAACAAAAAGAAAACAAAAGGTCCTTAAACGGCTCCGCGGGTCCCGATGAGGCAACATACTTTTGTCAACGCCACAAAGCCGTTCGGGATTTCAATTGGGAGACCTAGGAGTATATTCCTATTTCCCACCCAAAAATTATTTAATTCTCCCCAGGAGAATAAGTTGGCCCATCGTGTCTGACTTCATGAAAGGGACATCTAAGAATAGCGTCTCAAAAAATTCTTCCTAATGCACTTTGTAAGGTGCTATGTAACGTGACATGAGGGCTCTACTTCTACACACACCCCCCCTCCCCCAAAAAAAAAAAAATTGAATTGAGGATGACCTTTCTATTAAGATGGCGTGGCCAACTTTTTGAGGGTGACCTTTCTATTAAGATGGCGTGGCCAACTTTTGTTGCGTACTCGGACCCCGAGCCCTCGGAGGTAGATTCATTATTCCAGCATTTCGTCTGGATGCGACGAATCTTGTTTTCGAATCATGCCGTCTCTTTTCATACATAGGTGAAGACGGGGGATTAGGGTTACCATATATAAATAGGGTTTTTGTAATTTAATTTCCTAAACCGGTCACTTTATCTTTGACAAGGCTCGAGATTAATCAAAGAGCAAAAAATACTTTTTTCAAGCAATTCTGTTTTTTGGGAAATTGCATTAAAACCATATGAAGTTTTTGGGCGGTGCACGTTTATTCCCGAACTTTCAACCGTTATATAAAACTATCACTGAACTTTGGCTTCGTTACAATCATCAACCCTCCGTTTGTTTTTTCGGTTGCACATGCCTAACATGTGATTTTTCAATGGTAAAACTATAATACTTCTTGATTGTTGTAGTCATTTTGCTTTCCATTTCGCTCAATTTCAAGTATTATTATTATTATTCTTATTATTGTTGTTGTTGTCTAAAAATCCCTACATTTTTTTCTTCTATTTTTTGTTTTGTATATGTAATCATGTTTAGTATCGTGAGCTCGAACTCTACTTGAAATTGAGCGAGTTAATCAAGAGCAATCATGAAGCCAAGCTCGAATTACTCGCGAATAACTTGAATTGATTTCATCCTAAGATAGGTTCGCTCTAACTACTTCTTATCCTTAAATTTTGTTGTCCACATTAAACTTTTCAAAAAAAAAATTTCGGAAAAAGATAATCAGAGAGCTCAAAATAATCACAGAGATTAGTCGAGGAAGACGACTTTTACCAGTAAAGCCAAATGGCCCTTAAAATGAAATTGTGTAGAGATATGCTTCAGACCATTTTTAACAATGAAATTTCTAAATATGCATGTTTCTGTATAATTAAGCAAGTATTTGCATGCTTATTCTTCATCATCTATGCTACATACTTACGAATCGATTTTGCTGTGACATTCTATTTTCAATGCAAATTACACCCTTACATAATAATAATATTTTTTCCATTAATGTTAAAAAGTTCGGCCAATCGTGAATTTCATTGTACAAGATGACATACTTACAACTAATGTCACAATCAAATAGTTATCGTAAAAACGTGTTTCCAATCGAGGGATATTCGCATATTGCATGGCCATTCGACCAGTGAAATCTAGGGGTGGGAAACATTCATTGCCGCAAAACCACGGCAATTCGTTTAAGTCTAGACTAGGTTCGGGGGTAGCCTGATTTTGTTTTTTTAATTTATTATTATGTCATTTAAGAAATAGCATGTTATTGTAGAAATTTTAAAAGTCCAAATATACAATTAGCATGCGGGATCGATCAAATACGTCAGTTGGGGTGAATACCAAGCATACAAGTCTTTTTCCCAAGCCCTCCAATGAATTAAAAATAGTGCGACAAAGTTACATATATTGAAAATGACACTTACATGGAAGCAAAAATATGAATAATAGCAATTAGATATTGATATAGAAATCTTGCCTATCTCCTTATAGCTTTGATCTTTTGGAAAAATGGTTATCCAATTAATGTTTTTTTTACATACTTAGGGTTTTCTTAACACAATGTGATAGGTGGGACTGAGGATTAGATTTTTACATACAAGTGTAAATTGAAAATGCAGTCAAGTTTCCAAACTCAATAATGGAAAGACATTTAATTAAGCGCTAAAAATTTACAAAATTCAGTAACTGATGAAAAATAAAACTTATTTAAAAAAATTTATTAGTATTGACTAATAAGAAAAATCTGGTAAGTCTAAAATTTATGTAATGCGGTAAGCAAGGAAGGGGTTACTGAATTCATTCAACAGAAAAATAATTGATGACAATACTAGAACTTATTGACAATTCTCCTCCTCCTATGTTTGGTATGAAATTAATAATATTCAGTTATCGATTTTCATTTATTGCCTAACAAATTTGTATCTCTCTTTTCAGCACTTAAGTTTATCAACATCTAAAATTGAATACTATTCGACAATTATTTCACTCAATTTTATCGAACAATCCCGTCCTGATAAATTTGGACACGAAACCTTTATGAGAAGAACTAATCAAGTAAATAAGTAAGTTTTAATATTAATTCCGTGTTTGGGAGACCAGGGAAAATGGGGGCGATGAAATTCGAGTGAAAACTTTTGATAAAATTTAAATTTTTGTGGAATGAAAAGAGGAGATAAAATTTAAAATTGTGAGTATTTTCCTTCAATTTTCTTCGCCTAAGGTGCTTTTATGAGTATGTTGTTGAATTTATATAACTCACCAACCAAATCACATAATGCCATTGACACAATACTTCCTACCTTTTTATACACAAGTGGAGAATCATCTGATGAAAAAAAAAAGGGTATTAGAATATTCTAAGAATCTGTCAAAGAATGACAAAATTGATTGAACGTCGATTTCACTCTCATTTGGAAATTATAAAATAGACTAGAAAAATGTATCGATGACTTTTCTCGGAGTCTCCACGTGCACATAAAACAAATTTGAATACATTGTCCCCCCGATTGAGAATTTGGTCAAAACCAAAACTGGCAAAAGGTGGAAATAATTACCTGGTTGCGAGAACTTTCAATACGGTGATTTGAGCCAATTTTTGCCGGAAATCACTGACGGCTGGTCCAGTCATCGCT